ATTAAACAAGCTTAATATAGAACTTCAATTAATTTAACATTATTATTATTATCAAATTTTATATTTTTAAAAGTTATTTATCATTTTAATTAATATAATATATATATATCAATAAATACCTTCACCTATAGAAAAATATCATTTTACTTCTATATATACACAGCAAACATCAATTATTCATTATAAAAGAATTTAAAAAAGAAAAAACAAAAAAGAAAACAACGGTAAATATTGTTATATATATATATATTATATAATAGATAAAATCTAAAATGAAATTTATTTATTTAAAATTAATAAACAAAACTAATAATTCTTAATATTATCTTGTGTTTCTTTTTAACGAAATTCCATAAGAGTTTATTATATTGAAATATAATACTTTGAGGTAAATAAATCATTTTGGATTTATCTTATTTTAGAAATAAAATTCAACATATTGATTATAAACAATAGATTTTCAAAATAAAAGAGACGAAATTTTTCTATGTTAATTTTCTTTTAATCATAAATAATAAATTTTGTTAGCACAGGCTCTTTGGGGCTGATATGTCGAACTGACACATATGCTCTCTACGATGATTAAACTAATAAAAACAAACGTTAAGTGAAAAATCTCTTGTAGATTATAATTGTTTTCCAGAATAATCAATCACTAAAATAATGGCTACTTGTTGATTGCAGACACCAATTAAGGAAAAATGTCTGCAAAGCAGAATCGGGGGCTGAGAGACAAAAATGACCGCTAACTGGAACAGGTTCACTTTGTGGAATCAAGATTTATTTATTATATGAAAATAATACACAAAAAAATCATTAATGAAAGACAAATAAAGATTTAACTTTGTTGAGGTTCATAGTCAAGATCATCCTTGTCAAATGGGCTCCCTATCATTTCGTCCCATTACTTTTCGTCCCCTTACACTACGTCCCATTCATTTTGTCCCTTTACACTTTGTCCCATTGGATAAGTCTTTGTGACGATTCTGCTTAATATACAATGTCATGTACTGTGATCTTCTACATTTAATATATTAAATAAAATAAAGAATAAATAACAGTTCAATAATTTAGTTTCACATTAGCAGCCACACGGGCCAAATAGTCACAAACAGATTCAAAATTATAAGAAGCAACAATTCGTTTCAATCGTGAGTCAAGAGTAGCATAGATCTTCTTTTTGGCTTTTGGTTGTTGGCCCACTCGAATTCGTTCAATGTCTATTTCAAATTTTGCTTGTTCTCGTAAAATACATTTCGCCAGTTTAGTTATGGAAGGATGCTTTATCGATACACGATTATTGAACGCCCGATGCCGTCCTTCAATGGAATTATTTGATCTAGGCAAATCTTCAAGAACACGATCGTACACATTCCATGTTTGTATAGAAAATTGAGGCTTCGTTCGTCGAATACCTAAAATCAGATGGCAACTGTGAGTTGTAAGAGAAACAAATGATGTCTGTATTTACCTCGTCCTTTCTTTTGTCCAACCCATGCTTTTTCAAAATATTCTAACAGTTTATCAGCATCGTGATCGAAATCAATGATTATTGATGAATAAGCTTTGGTAACATCATCGACTGGCACGAATGCGAGGGCGATCAATTTATTTACGTTCAATCGAAATGTTTCGTCGTTGATATACCTATTCTGAAGACCTATTGACTGTACGTGTCGCCAAACAGACTGGTCCATATGAAACAAACAACCTACAGATGACAGAATTTAAACACTGAAATATGTGGACATGTGCGCCTTGAATACCTTTTTGAACAGCATCAGGAAATAATTTCGTGACGGAGTTAATAGTTGCCTGTTCAAAGTCGAGAAGAATTGAATCAGGATCAAAGTCGAACTCCAACAATAATCTCTCAAATAATTGATCATAATCGGTAGCTTTTTTACCAACAAGCAAGGCATACACCAATGGCACAATCTGACACGTGTACAGTCCATGCACTGTAAATAATTGGAAGAACTTCGCCGGACATACCTGGAAAAAAAACCAAGTAAGTGAGGCGATCAAAAATCATTATACTCACACTAAACGTGCCATCGCAAAACCAATGTTTGCATTCTTTTAGCACACTGAGATTCGATTTGCTTGTGAAAATGATCATTGAATCGTCTTCAAATAAGACAAAGTCCTCTCCACGATCTGTTTGCTTTAAAATCTGAGGTAAATTACTATTGATATCCAAAAGAAGTGGTGGTCTTTGACGAAGAATACATTGTGACAGAGCGTCCGTCGACGGAAGGTCTGCTGCAATACTCAGTGGTACTGTACGTAAAGCATTGTACAAAATTATGCTTGTTCCTTCTTCACATGACACACTTCGTTCTTTAATTTCATTTTGAATTCGAATCACGTGAAGCCGATTCGGATTTGGTGCATACGAATGACATGATGGTTCTTGAAGAAAAGCATCCATTGTTACATTCGTGTGGCAACGACCTTAAAATAATTTAAAATCCAACTTAAAGTGGAAAAACTTTATCATCAACACTTACTCTTACAATCGCGGCTTTCGCATCGAAAAATACGCTTTTCATTAGTCAGTCGGTGTTGTGTGTATACGAATCCACCATGGGACACAATCGGATTTCCTCTTTTACTCTTCAAAATTTCAATATCACCCATCGGTCGTATAGATAGCAACACTTGGTTAAGTAGCAAAGAAGAAAAGCTTTACGTGGTGAACAAGATCTGAGTGTAAATTTTTTTCTCTTTTGTTGATAGCCAATATATATATATCCATAGCCAATTAAATTCTTAGGCACAATTCGGTCGTCGGCTTTCTTTTCGGCCGATTATTATTACCCTCTCTTTCGTTAAAGTTAACTAATCATATCGAAGAAGAAATAGGAACGAACCATAGAGGGACATAGTGTATCGGGCAATCGAGTTTGGGACGAAGTGTGTGGGACGAAATGAGTGAGGGACAAAATGAATGGGACGTAGTGTAAGGGGACGAAAAGTAATGGGATGAAATGAGTGTCCACCGTCAAATGTATCGAATACATTGATATATCGATAACGGTCTACCCCCTATTCGGTCCTAATCGGTCCTTTTTGATTTGGGTCCCATTCGATGAATTCTCACTTGGGTCCTTTTGTGTTTCGGTCCATTTTAATTGATTCTCATTTCGGCCCTATTTCTGTTTCGTCAAAATGTATTCAATCATAAAATAGATGAAAAAATTTCATAATCCTCCTGAAAAATCATTGATGTGACATGTTTTCAATTGACCATTGGTCAAGATATAAATCCTTACAGTAATCCAGTTTAAACCAAATGATACATAAATGATCATTATTTTTTAAAACATATCGAATTGATAAAATGAGCAAGTCAATAGAATTCACGACCACCAATCGAAATGCGCCGGTACTTCATTATCAAGGATATCAATATACAATTAAACGGAATTATAAAACTACGAGTGAATGGCGGTGTCGAAGAAGGCCATGCACGGCTTCTTTATCGTTGAGTCTTGGAAAAGATTCAATTATTCGTGAACCTGGTGATCATACATGCCAATATTCTTCACCAGAAAGTGTTGTTGTTGAAAAAGCTATTTGCCGTATGAAAAAACGAGCAACGGAAGAAACTTTACCAATACCCCATATATATGCACAGGAAATTATAAAAATTCGTATTGATCATCCACAGATGAATACTGGTGCAGCTTTTCCATTATTGAACAGCATTGACTCAACTTTGTATCGTCAACGTGCGCAAAATTATCCAAAGCTTCCATCAAGTATTATTGGTTTAATGATTCCAGATCCTTGGAAACTCGATCGTTATGGTGAACCATTTCTTTTAATCGATGAAACTTGTATGGACTCTTTTTTTTTTCAATGAAGTATTCTATTTGTTTTGTAGACGGTGAAGATCGACTTCTTATGTTTGCTTCAGATTGGAGCTTGAAATTCTTAGGGTCCTGTAGCCAGTGGCATTCTGATGGAACTTATAAATGCCGACCTTTATTATTTTCCCAAGTCTATATAATTTTTGGTTTCAACAGCATGATGATACCGTGTGTTTATTGCTTATCAACCAAGCAAGATGAAAATATTTACATGAAAATTTTACACAATTTATTACGTATTGTTCAACAAAAAGGAATTCATTTTGTTCCAGAACGCATAACATGTGATTATGAATTAGCAGCCATTAATGCATTTAGAAGTGTTTTTCCTCAGGTACATATTTCAGGGTGTTTTTTTCATTTTTCTCAAAGTCTTTGGCGCAAAATTCAAGAGTTAGGTCTCACTCAATATGTCAAATATGCAAATTTAACTGCGTCAAATAATGCTTCAGCTGAAGAAAAAATGAAAAGTACCAAATGGTTTCTATGTGCCATTGGTTTAGCTTTGATACCACCGCATCTAGTCGAGAAAACATGGGCAGAGGTTATGGATGAATATACACCTAGTCATCGTTCAGCTATCAAATTTAATGATTACATGGTGTCAACATACGTTGATCTTAGTTCATGTCGTTTTCCTGTTAATTTATGGAACGTTAATGATGCTGTTATTAATAATATACCTAGAACCAACAATCACGTCGAAGGGTATAACTCTCGACTTGGTTCGTTGTTTCCGGTTCACCCTCACATTTTTAGATTCATTGAACTATTAAAGGATGAGCACCTGTTTCAACACCATCATGCTGAACAATCTAGAACATATCTACCAAGACGTCAAAAATTAAGTGAGAACATTAATGCTCAACTAATTCGTTTGCTCAATAAACATAGTAATCGTGAAATTACAGATTTAGAATTAGCACTGCAATGTGGCAAAGCAGTCAAAACTAAATTGGCGAAAAAATAAATAAAAAATATATAGATTTTTGCAGACATATATCATTTTTCTGTGCAATATTATTATGAATTTTTTTTCTGTGTTACTCTTGTATATGTTTTTTTTTCTGTGTTACTCTTATATATGTTTTTTTTTCTATGCTAATAGAAATGAATGACTATAACTTATTATATTAGGACCGAATTTAGAGTGAATTAAAATGGACCGAAACGCAAAAGGGCCCAAGTGAGAATTCATCGAATGGGACCCAAATAAAAAAGGACCGATTCGGACCGAATAGGGGACTGCCCATCGATAACCAAGTGAACGTATAGTGATTGAAGCATTACACGATTTATGTGTACAAATCCACATTTGAGTACCACATTTATTTATTCTCTTAAGTCCGAAATGATAATTTTTCAACATTATTCCATCATTATCAGTTTGTGTCGTAAATTCAGAAAAACTATCACAATTTACAGTGGACATTTTTATTTGATTTATATTTTACTTTATTTCTATCACTTTAAATAGTTTCGTTCAGTACGTATTACAAAAATGGTCTGAATAGCATGTGATATCCGACATTAGACCAGCTCGTAGACGTAGATATTTTTTCTTAATTCGAGCTAGTTGAACTAACTATATTTCTTCGTTTACTTTCGCTTCTGTTCAAAATGCAGATGTTTCTCTCTCCCTCATTTCCACTTTGCAGTCATTTTTTTTCTCTCCACCGCCCCCCTCCCTCGATTCTGCTTTGCAGTCACCAATTAAGAGAAAATGTCTGCAATCAAGAAGACACGAAAATAATAACCTCTCTAATTTCTGCATTTCAAAGAGAATTCTTTTATTTGATTTTACGGCCGCCCTATATTTTGTTTTTATTGTTGATATCTAATCGTTATTATTCATTTTTTCTTAATTTAACATTCTTATTATTATTATTATCATTAAAATAATTGAGAAATAAGTCTGTTTTACATATTCATCATGTCTACAGAAGATGTTACACATTATCATATATATTAATCAACTTACAAATAATGTTGTTCATTATTTTTCAAAATTATAACTTGATCAATTTAAAAAAAAAAACTTACAAATTTGACGTCTTTTATTGTCGACTGGTAAGGTCTGTAATGGGAGAAGGTGTCTGTAATGGAAAATGGGAGGGAATCCACGAAAACTTCATCTTAAAAACTTCCATTCACTATTTTCTTCAAAAATATATGTGAGTTCCACAAAAATGATGAAATTAATTGAATGAAATTTGTTGATAATCGTTATTTTTAATATCTATTATCTATAGGTTCGAAATAAAATAAAAATATTATTTTTATTTATAATAAAAAGAATTTTAGACATATCGATATGTTTGAAATAAATAAAAGTGGCGTCCTCTTTTTTATTCTATAGAGATATATATTAACGAATATGATTGGTTTAGATTTGTTTATCTTTGTTCATTTAACTTAAGTTAATCAATCAATAAAATAAATCATAGATTTAAAAACTATTTTCAATTAAAAATAATATATATATATATATATATATATATATTATGTTAAGTATTGGTTTTGTTTTCTATTTAGTTATAAGAAAAACTATAGATTGAAATAAATTATTTCATTGTGCTTGTTTTTTTTCTTGTTAATCTATATAAAAGAAAAATAAATGTCAACTAATATTCTACGATTAATATCGATAAAAATAATATTTATTATTTATTCATATTTTGATATAATTATTATTTTGAATATAAAAGAAAATAGAAAAAAAAGTAAAACATTTTAAATAGGAAAATTTTCTTTTAGTTAATTTATTTAAATCGATAAAAATAAATAAAATATTGATTTTTATTCAATTGAAATATTTAACTTATTATTTAATTTAATTAGTCAAACTATTGTTTATATATATATATATATAATAAAGTTTTATTTTGAATATATGATTGAAATAATATTTCTATATGAATGTCATTGTTTATTATTTTTACATGATTGAAAATAAATTGAATATGAACTTGTTAAAGGTGATAAATAAATATCTTCAAAATTATTTGAACAATCAAT